TTTTTTTCCTCGTGTTTCCCGATCGCACGCTCGCGCCGCGGAATCCGTTTCTTTGTTTGACGCACGGTTAAGGGTGGTTTTTCTAGGGGTTGCTTCAGTGACGCTGTTCGCAGGAGGGATGCAGTGCCGAGGAGATTATCGGCGATATCACGGAGAATTCAGGGGATTTCTTTTATAAACGCACCATCGAAGATTTTGTTTGCTATTCTGTTGATTGATCTGTGTTACTTCTTCGAAGCTGCATTATCGGAAATATTTCAAGTTTATTTGTTTTTCCAATCTGTCAACCACCAATCGCCGACTCCCATGCAAACATAATTAAGCGTATAAATACAAATTTAGATTGGAGGATCTTCTTAGTAAATAAGAAAAACCAGAAGCATTTGATGACCATAGACGAGTTCGGAGAACCAGCCAACTCGTCTTCCCCGGCGAACAAGTTAAGGGCAAGGAAGCGATCAGAAAACGATTCGCCGTCGACCCACGCGGAACACGACGCTGCGCCGCGGCCAGTGAAAGCGCGCAGGGAAAAAGAAACGCGATCCGGTCGCGTTCTCAGGGAAAAAAGAACTGCGGCGCAGGCTGGCAGCGCGCGAGCCGCGGGAAACAAAGGGGAAACACGTGGCCGATCGCCGATCAAAGGGATTCCACTGGCGTTGCGGAACCGGTCGATAATTCAGTGGCAACTTTTCAAATAGCTCAATTACGGCCGGGCACGCGGGAATGGATTTCCGCAGGGCATGCATTATTCATCGTGGAAAGTCGCGGATCGAGGCGGGCCGCGGCTCGCCGAAACGGGCATGGACCGAGTGAAAATGCTGGCTGAATCGAGATCGATACCGAGGCCGCCGCCGATTATCGAGGAGAAACTGCGACAAGAAGGCGGGATTAACGCGCTGCAAATGACCGTCCGCGGTGCCGCGAGTAATTCGATTCTACCGGACAATTCTGTACGACTAATCGAACTTCCCGAGATTGGGGAAATGGCATAAGCTCCGGCCGGGAATTATGCAAACACGGATTTCTATTGAGCAATTCGGTAACAGGAAGCATAACCGAACACAAATTTATACGATACGTTGGCCGAATCCCGTCGAGTCTCAATCGAAATGAAAACTTTGATAATATTTATTAAATTTTCTGCAGTATCATGTCTCCGACAATCGTGCTGAACGGTCAGTTATGTAAATTCGCGGTTCAGAGACTGGTTCGCGGAACCACGAGTCGAATCGACGCTTTTTATTACGGATTTCGTCTAATTAAAATAGGGATTTTTAAACTTTCCCTTGTGATATGAATGTTTGGAAGGAGGTAGTGCGGTAATAATAACGAATGGAGGGAGGTGGTCGATGAATTATTGGATAGGTTGTTGACACAGGGAATTTTCGAATTCCGGGTACTTGTCAGTGCTTCCGACAGGTTCGAATGTAGAACAGCCGTGTGCAGGATAGAAGCACGCGTAGGCAATCCAATTACCTTAGCCAACCTGTAAATACAAATAGTGAAATCGATCAGAGAAGCGCGCTTTCTACGGATTACAATGGGATTTCGAACAGTCTTAACGAATCGTTCAGTGCGTAGCGACGTTCCCACACTCGTGAATCTAACCCTCGTGTTCCCTTCCAGGAAAAAAAACGTCTCAAACTGCTTCAAACATAAACTCATTTTAAATGAACTCTGACTCGGAAGAAATCATCAGTATCTTCCTCCTCTTTATTAATACCTAATAATTCAAAATCTTCCAAAAAAAAATTTTCAAACTCTCGCAAACACATCGACAAACTCTACTAGTCTTCCAACTCATAACAAACTTACCTAATGATTCATTAACCCTTTACATACGCTCTGACTCTTAATAACTTATTCCTCTACCTAAAACAGGACTCGTATCCGACACCTACCTGGATCACCGCAATCAAAGACAAACTCCGAACATTTAGGAAAAGGAGACCGATATGAGCGAGGAGTTGCAACGCTCACTTGCCAAATCCCGGCAGTCCACGCAAACTATTGATTTTAACGTGCTCTCGCACTTAAGCGCGTCGGAAACCGGAGAACCGTAGCGTAACACCCTTTCGAGGCTCACGGATTCATCAGTGCGCGGCACATACATCGACGCCTGTCCCCGTGTATCTCCCGCGTTTCCCGTGTCCCTCCTGCTCGCTCCCTGGCTTTCTCTCTCCGCACTGACGTCTCACCTCTGCGGTCGTTTTGCCGTCCCCGTGTGTCTGTGCATTGATCGCATTACAGGGCATTAAGGTATAGGTAAGCCTCTAGTTACGTCCAGCTCTCGAACGGCTCTAGATGAGTCTTACACGATACTTAGGCTTGTTCGCCGGGACCGCGACGCGGCGCGTCGGCACACGTCGATTTCCGTTCTTCCGTTGCACCGTTAATCGCCCGTGATCGGACGACTGATAAATTTTGGTTCCCGCGATGAATTTGATCGACGACAGGATCTTAGAGCGTTCCAAGTATTTTTCATAAACCGCGAATGATGCTTTGGATATGTGAATATCGATAGTGTCAGGTCTCTATGTTCTCGAGAGGAACGTGGTTGGTAGAAACCAAAAACCTGTGACCATAATCAAACTGAGTAACATTACTATTATTAGGGTTATTCTGTTTATAAGCATAGTTTATAATATGTTTATACTAATTAGATCTTGGAAGCTGGAGCATTAAAAGTGGAGAACTAGGATTCCGTATTCGCGTAATTCATCGTTAATCAAAATCAACTTAACGTTTACTAAATAATATCTGTTAAATACAATATGTGACACATTAACACGCTCCGTAAGCCCAGTGCTACAGACGGAGGAAATCCATCAGACGCGGTGCTTTTATTTGCAATTCCGAACAAGGCAATACCATTCTTTCCGACGATTACCGGCCGTCACCGCGATATGATCGATCTAATGACACGTCGCGCGCGCCAAACAGTTGCGCGAGTCCCGCCGCAGCGATCGAATGCGATACCCGGAACGCCTGTAATTTGCTAGAGGTGTAAATTGGCTCGATTACGGGTTACGTTTCACGGGATTTCCCCTTTCTCGTTCGGCGGGACGCTGTAGTTTGGCCGGCGCGCGGCGCGGATGCAGGCAGACAGAATGCCCGAACGATTGGAGCAACGAAACTGGTGGTCAGTCGTTAACGATCGTGCCCGGGGATTGCGTTTTTGCGCAGAACGTGTGCTTTAAGCTTTTAGAAACTCGTGTTTATCTGAAATTTTGTTTGAAGGTGCGTGTCTGACACGCGAGATCTCGGGGTATCTAAAATTCTCGTTTAGCGAGGTACTTTTCTGGGATCGGAGACCCACGTTTAAAAGAATTCTTGGTCACGCTCGATCGGATCCGAATCAACACGTCACAAAATCTTGTTCGCGTTTCTCTGCAGCTGCGGAGCGACTCGTCGAATTCAGTCCAGATTCTCGGGACCGCCGGGTGGAGCGGGCGTTCTAGATGAAAAGTTCGCGGCCCTCCATAACCGATGAGAATAAACAGCGCGGCACGCGGGGCCGCCGCCGCGTTTCAAAGAGGAGGCGAAGCGTAAACGATAACGAACCGTTTCACGCTGAAAATATTTAACGCAACCGAAGCGTCGTAAACTTTTATTGCGAGCGTGGGCTTGGTCCGGCATTAAACGGAGAAATTCGCAAGCATTAACGGGCCCGTTCCCGCGCGAACGAGTTTCCGCCGCCATTTTTCCACCCCTTTTATTCATACTTATCCGCATCCCCGTTTGGTAAACCGGGAAACGATTCGACTACGGGACGAGTGTAATAAAAGAGAACGAGGAACGTAGATAAGATGCTCCTTATATATTAGAGAACACAAAATAACAAATTGAAGACAGTGTGGGGGACGAACGAGGCAGTCGGACCTGTGGACACCTCCGTGATTAAGCCGAGAACGCGTTAAATGAAGTCTAGTTAATCTGAAAGCATCACCGATACGTTTTTCCGTACGATCGATCTGCTAATATCTCCTTAAAGCTACCAACTTGGGTGCAAAGCATTAATATTGTTCTTCTGGCGAAGTGTATCCAATTTATTCATGCAAACAGACCGAACTCTATATCCAGTCCAAGCTTAAATTACTGTACCCAATCAAAGTCACATAACCTAACTCTACCTACATCATGCAGCAGTCTTATTCCTATTCTTCACTCAAAAAGATCCCAGCGACCTTATAAGATTGCTAACTCGGCGTCGTTGTTGCAGAAGGCAGGCGGTATTGACAGTGTCGGGCGGCGGTTCCAGACTCTCGGCAAGTGGGCCAGCCTCCCCGGAAAAGCGGCGCTCGTCGAACTCCGTGAACGACCTCCTGGACGACGAAGACAAGCTTCTGGACGTCGTTGGACCAGACACGCCTCACCCAGGCCACCATCAACGGGAACGGGAGCACTCCCGTGAAAGAGACGACAGGACCAGCGAACGAGGCGAGGGCAGCGAGTCGTCTGGTTCGGAAAGCGGCGGAGGACCAGGCCCAACGGGATCAGAGGGACCTAGACCAGAAGTCTCAGTCGGTTTGCCGCTTCATCCACCTTTGCTACCGTACCTCTACCCACCGGTTCCTGGACTGTACCCTGGTCCAGGTCCTTTAATACCACCCAGTCACCTGGGTATCCATGGCGGAGTGTCGCCAGGCATGTTGTTCAACGCTCAGCTGGCCTTGGCAGCGTCTCAGCACCCAGCCCTGTTCGCGCATTACCATCATCCGCTAGCGAGTCCATTGCATCAGCTAAAAGGACATCGGTACGCGCCGTACACCTTGCCAGCACCATCCCACGGGTCCGCGTTCGAGACCGTGACGCCCGGCAGCAGGACCCTGAGCCCTAGGTCTCCACCACCGAGGCCGCCCACAGGCTCTCCAACCCCCGCTGCTGGCTTAACGTCCAGCAGTAGCTCCGCGGGCGAGCTGAAGTCGATCGAGAATATGGTGAACGGCCTCCAGGAGAAAAGGAGACGCAGTCCGAGTCTGACGCCCGGGCACAGGGGCGACGCAGACGCCGGAGGAGGGAGTCCGTGACAGGAGAACGAGCCCGTGACTAGCACGAACCCAGACGACCCGGACGACAAGCGGTCCGCTGAACCCTGCGACTCCCAGGAGCTCTACGGTGACGAGAGGGAGCCGGACTCGACCTCTGAGCTGTCGTAGCGGGGCCGAGGGTCGTCGTCGGCTCGACCCGGGACCCTCTGTGCCCCGCTTCGGGATGGTGACCGCCGTCCCGGACCCCTGCGCGTCCTCCTGGGGGACAGACGGCGACCCGGTTCAGGGACGATCCAGACTACGAAGTGCAATTTTACCACGCGGACCGGCCGGACACGTTCCCCCGCCGGTTTCCGGGACCCGGCGACTAACCTGGTCCCCTGTGAGTGTATATAAGAGAGAAAAACCACGGCGGCCGTGGCGGACGAGGGGAGACCGACGCGAACGGTGGATCGCGCGGGGCCTGGGGCCCATGGACGCTGCGCGGATCACGCGAGTCGGTGGTGTACATTGAGGTTTCGGGGCACGGACAGGTGGAACCAGCGTCGATTCGCGAGCGGCGACAGTTGGCGGCTTCGAGTGCTTCGAGTATCGTCCGCGGTACTTTTTGTTGCAACTCAACGAACGAAAGTCTGCAGATGGGATTTTCTTTTTGAAAGAATGTTCGGAAATGGTTTCCACGGTTCATGGGTATCAGATGGTTGCATAAGGTCGTGACGATACTCGCAGCATTCTCGAGCAACCCGGGTTAAACACAGTACAACGTTGTTAATCAGCTGCGTTCTGAGCCGCGTGCGTTCTTAGATGTAAGAGAGGGAGACATTGCAATACGACAGCACCTCTTACTATTTGCAGCCCCTGTACATATGTACCCTAGTGATAATATATTATATTATATTATATATATATATATATATTATACATATAAATAACTACTCTCTGTATTAATTATTGAATATAATATTATATTAATTATTAGAGGGACGTAAACAAAAAAAGACGCATAAACGCACGTTCGCCCGGTACAGACTCTCGGGAAGAGACCGGAAGAGAAAGGGCCGAAGAAATGGTGAAACACACGAGACGGATGGAAAAACATACCGATCACGGTCCTCAGACTTTTTGTAAGTTAATCGTGGAAGGGAGAAAGAGAAAAAGAAAGAGGAAAGGAAAAGACGAGCGTCATTTCTCGGTTTCGGGCCCCGCGCGGCTGGCGCCATCTTGTCGTCGACGCCATTTGAAGAGACCATGTTCGGGCCGAGGTCACGGACGATCTCTCTTCCGGAAATTGATCCATGAACCCCTTCTTGCGGTCACCACTTTGGAAAATGAACAAGATGGTGGAGACCGCTGATCCTGACCCCTAACTCCCGTCCCCAAACCTGGCCTCTTGGTCGCATATTTGTATAAAATTTAGCGGTCGATGTAGATAATTTTGAGAATGGGGTGGAACTTCGAGCAATCGATTTTTGGGGATCGAATATCCGCAGGAAACAGTCTAGACGAAGAAAATTCTATAGAAAGAGAAGAAACGACCCCAAAAGTAGAGGATGCTCGCGCCCCGATTCTCGATTCAGCCGTCAGTCCCTCGTGTCCCCGCGGTTATCCCTTGAACGTTGGCCATCTCGAATTTTCGCGAAAGTTCCGATCACAGGGGAGAAGTGCGACTCGTTCTCGTATACGATCACCGGTCACGATTGCGCAGTTGTGTTTTCCTATTTTTTTTTTCAGAAATTTCGATTTCGTATCGTTTCCTCTTTCCGCTGCGCCGGAACCGTGCGACGAGAATTGTAGCGAACATTGCGCAACATTTTGGTTTAAGAATTGTAAGCGTCCCCAACGTATTCAAGATGCGCCCGACAATTACTTTGAATCGTGCTGTTCCACGCAACGAATTTCGTTCACACTTCTCCTGGCTACCGTGTTTTCGTAATCTGCGATACGCTACGTTGTACAGAATATGAGAAATTGTAAGCATCCCCCCTCCGCCGCCGCCGCCACCCCACACAACCCCAACGAATATTTCCGTCAACGTCGCCACGATTCATTCTTTCGAGACGCTTTTCCGTTTCTTTTTTTTCTTTTTTTTCTCTCTCGATTTCAGTTGTAGAGTAACTCCGTGATACCTTCGACACTGTCAATTTTATTGTATAAATATGTGAATACATACAAACTATATCTGTTCCTACTATTTTTTTTCCTCCTTTTTAATTAATGCTACTTCGCCAGTTGCAAACTGTCATTGCGAACGATCTTTCTTTTTTTTAATATTTTTTTCCTATTTAAAATTTTAAATAAATACGATGTCTGTTAAACACTCCTCGGTATTCTTTGTTTTTATTTTTCTCTGTTGTCGTTTACCTCTCCCGATTTTTTCTTTCTCCTTCCATGCTCCGCCACTGCGAACCCGTCGCCGAGCGAACTTTTTGTAATCAAAATCAAATTGAGGTTGAATAAAGTCCAAGTCAAAGGGTTAAAGGCGGTGAGGTTTAACAGATTCGATCAATTGCTTGCTCCATTCGCGAGGGAAGATCGTTTCGTCGCGAGATACAAGGAAATGATACGGTAAAACTTGTTTCTATAATTTGTACGCGTGAAAAGACAATTCAGGAAAGGAAAACAGGGTAGATACGCGGCGGAACGTGTGCAGCTGCATCGATCCGAAAGGAAACGGAGTCATTCTTCAACATAAAACACTATGTTTCGATCGTTTCGAGGTTCGAGAAAGATCCAGATAACGCGGGGAAAGAAGTAATATCAATTAAAAATGCAAAATCAAAACACTGAAATGTTCAGATCATACAAAACTCGAGATGAGACTCGAAAACCAATACATACGAAGCGCGCAGCCCCCTCCGCGCAGCCAGAGCTGTACCACTGAGAACTGGAGCCCTAATTTTCTCATTTCTTCCTTAGCTAATTTTCAATTCCCATCTCCGATTACTTTCTGAGGCGCGAAAGGTCCTCGGTGGAAAGCAAAGAAAAAATCGATGAACGCGTTTTCGAAAGAAAAGTAATAAAACAGAAGTGAGACGAAGGCGAATGTAACGTAAGAATTGAAACTATACGACACCGACACTAAAATCCGGTGATATTCCGTGGTTTGTATTGTATATTGTACACGTCTCACAGCCTCCTCTGCCCTAATTCCTGAAAAAGCACCCTTCTAAGAATTATAAAATTCTTAGTCACGTGGATCTCGAAGGGTGGTTTCTGAAAGGGTAGTGTTAATTTAAAAATACGAAACTATGTCATGCTTTCTGGCCCTCCATGTGATCTCCGGCGGATTTCGTTGATTCTCATTCCGCTTCGCACTCAACGCCCCGTGTTCCATCGTTAACTCCGGAATTTCAGCGGCCGACAATCTTGGCGACGAGATTGCATCTCGTCCAATTTTCCTCGAGTCGATATTCTTATTAATTAAGGGTCCCGCGAGGACGCCAGGTGCGAAGCACGCTCGACGAAGTTGAAGCTAACGAGACGGGCAACGTCTCGAGCGACCTTCCGATTCTATAGGGTGGTCAACAAATAGCAGCTGCTGGATGGCAGGAGAGTTCAATCCATCGATCTTCCAAACAATCTGAAAACTGTTTCGTTTAGCTGTAACGATAAATAATACACTGTTCGTTTAGAACAATCTTTTTGGAAATAGGAGGGGATGATTCCAATACTTCATTAATTAGATTTTATACAGGTTAAGTGATTAATAATTCGACAATATAGATAGAATGGTAATTATTACGGGCGATATGAAATCGCAGTTAAATATGAATAACAGTAGATTACTTATCGTTACATCGAAACTTGACGGATCATGCATCAACTGAATAAATTATTTAAACACCCTATAGAACGACCACATCATTCCTGTTTTCTTGAGTATAAGCGGTAAGTGATTAACATCTAATCCCCGTTAACAAACTAGCGAAGTATCGTTTAAAATTTAATCAAGTTCGTCATTTGTGGTCACGTTGAATAAACACAACAATTTCACAAATGAATCTTCGTGGATCGCATGGTAAAGAGCCGGAGGAAAATCTGATGATTAGTTCCAGTGATTACCGCTTATCGCGCGATCGATCCCCGGCGTAATTATCAGGGCCATGATCGTTGCCGCGAATCGGGGCGTCGTTGAATAAACAAAACTGCCCCCGCCGAGGGACCGGTTCAAAATCGGGCAGTGCGCCTCGAGGCCGAGGCTCTTAATTTTTCCGTCGCGTACCCCATAAAACCTAACGACTTAATCGCACGTGAATGTACAAATTGCATGATTGTATAATTAGAATCGATCGAGCGGCGTGTAAGCCGGTATGTTTATCTTCAGCTCTCTCTGTGTTTTTTCTCTCTTCCAACCCTCTCCACGCCCCTAGCCCACTGCTGCCCCATCCGCGCAGCAACGGAAACGCGAAATTCTACGGTTCCTTTTTCTTCGTACCGAGAAATATCGCGACGCGCTGTAAACAAGCGGCGTGTACGTGAGCATAAATAATTCATGCGCGCGCGCGGGAGACCCGTTTCTGGACACGAGAAAATGCTTCGAGAAGGATTCGCCTGTCTCGGACGTGGCTTGAAAGGGGTGGGTTCGCCTAACGAGGCGAAGGAAATTGTTTCTTGGCTCTGAACCTGGCCGAAATTTCAACATTGTTGTTTGTTACGTCGTTAACCCTGAAGTCGATAGAAAAAGACAACAGGGATGTAAGTGTCCCATTCTCAGTGCTTTGCTTTATTCCACAGCTGTGTTGTTACGGCTAATTTATCGTTAACGATTTCTTACAAGAGAAAAGAAACTTGCGTTCATTGAAAAATCACATTGTTTTACACTTTCGGATTAACTAGTAGAAAGTAGTAGATAATCACAAATGCGACTCGAAGAATAAAGAATTCCGGAATTTACATTAGAATTATTCATCCCCTGTATCCTCTGAGCCTTCGAGATAAACATCATTTTACAATTTTACCATTTTCCAACAGCTTAAAGAGAAGACTATCGAAAGAACTTCCACTGTGACTAATATTATTTTTCTTCGTCCTTTACCCTTGTTCGTTGACCCGGCGCTGTCAAAAGTGATCGCCATCTTTTCCACACGAGACCGAACAACAAGAGAATTATAATCATGAAGTTTTTCAGCGCGGAGAAGAGCACGTTGTAATTGTTAAGCGTAATCGCGAAATCGGCGCAGCGTCAGGTTTACCTGGGTGTTCCACCGTTAATTTTATAATTTTTGCGAATCAGTGATCATCATAATCGATGTTGAAATTTGTAATGGGTTCCGCTTCTTCCTTCTGTTCTTTTCTTTCTCTTCCTCGCGTACGGTGCGGGTCTCGCATGGATAAGGACCGACTACGACAGCGTGAGGGAAAGAGGGTGGGAGGGAGGGAGGGAACGAGAGAGAGAGAGAGAGAGAGAGAGAGAGCGAGAGAGAGAGAGAGAGAGAGAGAGAGA